ATGTGCACGCCACCTGCCCGCCCATGGAAACGAGAGGTGGAGGGACCGACACAAGGCATTGCCGTAGCTGCGAGGGGTGGGCACTCTTCACCTCGGACCTGGGTCCCATGGTTCCTGCACACACATATATGGGACCTATATGGTCGGCTGGCTTGTGAGCTTACAAGTAGAGCAAAATCTCAGGCCCAGCTTCTGATGTAACACACACTCATTTTACACCACATACACAAAGTAGACACACTTTACACACTACCCACCAAAGAATTAGATGCTTGTTTTCCCATTTCACCCCACTACACATACACAAAAGACAGAGACCCATCTTGCACCACACATACCAAAAAACATACAGTGTTACATAACACATGATGAACACACACTAGATACCATCTCGTATTCGACACACACACACACAACAGGTAAACATCAGGCCATGCATAGCAACACTAGATACCCACCTCTCTCTCTCTCTCATATACATACTAGATACTACTTTGCACCATGCACATACAAAAAACTGCCCACCTCACATGCGCATACAGAAAAGTGAGAACTCAGATCCTTCCTCTTTTTTAGCAGGCTGAACAGGTCTGAGCAACAAGAAAAAAAATGGACCCCAGAGTCCTCCATGAAACAGGCTAGCCAGCTGGGGTTGCAGATACTCGTCCTGACTTTGAGATGTAATGAGCCTCCAGGGCTGGCTTCCTAGACTATGGGAGAGACAGAAGAACAGATTAGGAGGAGGCAACCCCAAGGGCTTCTCTCTGGTGGGGACCAACTGAAGCACAGACCACAGTGACCAGAGACTTTCTTCCTCTAACTAAACAGGTTAACATTCCAGTACAGGTTCCCTGATTGGCCTCCCGTATGGATAAGAATGAAGACACACTGTCCTTTTTGAGACAGCCTGAGAATCCAGATTCTGATTTGCTTACTCAGTCCCCTGCTGTAGTGCAGCATTGGTGTGTGTGGGTTTTCAGCAGCCACGAACTTGGGGAAAGCAGAATGGAGTGGACACAAGTAAAGACGTGGGTGCTGGGAAGGGAGGGTGTGTGTCTGCACTCAGAAGGCTCAGAGGCTCCTGTCCAAGATGCACATTGTAGGGCAGGGCTGGGGGAGTGGGCTGCGCTGTGGAGAACCTGCTGGACAGGCCAGGGGCAAGGCAGAGAGGTCGCCCACCCCGCACATTTGTCTCTTCCTCTGCATCTGTGTGCCGGCCCCAGCCTGTTCCAGGGATTCGGGTGTGGACAGACTGGCTCCTGCCCTCAAATAGCTGACATTCTCTTGAGAGGAGCAGATAAAAGCCAAGTAAAAGCCACACAAACAGGATGGGCTGTGGCCCTCTCATCATTTAAGGTGAGATTTCTTCCCCAATACCCTCAGTGAAGAAGGTGTTGGCTTTCCTCCATCCTTGGCAAAGGGACTGCTCTCAGTTGCTTAATTTTGAAAAAGATACTGTTTAGGGAAGACACAGTGGCCTGAAAAAAGCCTTGATTAATGCTAGTTTGGGATGCTGTTGGGAGTCTGTGTTTGGTTAAGGAAAAAGATAAAGAATGGGAACAAAGGTTTAGCCATAATTGTGTGTCAGATGTTACTTTAAACCTTTAAAGATCATTGTTTGTTTGTTTTTTTTAAGATTTTATTTATTTATTTGACAGAGAGAGACACAGTAAGAGAGGGAACACAAGCAGGGGGAATGGGAGAGGGAGAAGGAGGCTTCCCGCCGAGCAGGGAGCCCCACGTGGGGCTTGATCCCAGGACTCTGGGACCATGACCCGAGCCGAAGGCAGACACTTAAAGACTGAGCCACCCAGGCGCCCCATAGAGATCACTGTTGAAGGAAGACACTTGGTGGAGATCACTGAAGGGTTTCTTCAAGATGTTGCCGTCCCAACAGCGTGCAGATGGAATCCGGGTACCGAATGACCCTTTGTGGATGGTCTTGTACTTCGATTCAAAACTCGAACAGCTTAGATGCTTATGTTGAAGATACTTGCCCAAATTTAAATAAAATGTGAGAGTGGAAAAAGTTGTTTCCAAATGAGTGTGCTTTCCATGTTGTGTGAGTTTTGAGATAATTATAGATTCAAATGCAGTTGTAAGATATAATACAGAGATTCCTTGTACGCTTTGCCCAGTTTCCCCAAAGATGACATCTTCAAAACATAACTGTATGATATCACAGCCATGATACCAACATTGATGAATCATGATCTTAGATTTCTCCAGTTTTGCTTACACTGACATTGCATGGCTGTGTCATACGTAGATTCCTGTACCCACTGCCACAGTCAAAACAGAGTATTTCCATCACCAGGAGGACCCCATCTCCCTTCCGCTCCCTCTTCAAACCACTAATCTGCTCTCTACTTCTAAAATTGTATCTTTTCAAAAATGTAAACAAATGGAACTTGTGAAAATAAAGGGAAACCTCACTAAAATGTAATAGGGAGGTTCCACAGGTGAAGCTCCTAACTGCAGACCCGACAAGAACAGAGGGACCTCAAAAGTAAGTCAGTGCCCCTGTAGCTACTACTTTATCCCAGAGGAGGAAAGTTTCCTTCTGCGCCAGCAAAAGCCCAGCCAGTGAGAGACTGCCCCCACTCAGCATGATTACCCTGTGATTCCCCCAACTGCTTTGTGTATGAACAGTCCATTCCCACTGAGCCCATTCCATGCTGTGGATGCACTGTGGTTGGCTTAACCATTTGCTCGCTAAAAGGCAAATAGGTTGTTTTCAGTATTGGGGTATCACAAATAAGGCTGTTGTACACATTTGGGTATAGATTTTTGTTGAAAATAAGTTTTTAGTTTTCTGGGATAAATGCCTCAGAGTGCAACTGCTGGGTCATATGATAATTACATGTTAGTATTATAAGAAACTGTCGACCTGTTTTCTGCAGTGGCTGTACCATTTACATTCTTAACAGCAATGAATGAGTAAACTGAGTTACCCATAACCTCACCAGCATTGGATGTCATTGGTTTTTCTTTCAGCCATTCTGAAAGGTGTATAGTGGTATCTCATTGTGGTTTTAATTTGTATTTTCCTAATAGCTAGTGATGTTAGCCATTCATCATCACTCACCATTTGTATATTCTCTTCAGTGAGATGTCTTTTCATGTCTTTTGCTAATTGGATTTTTTTTTTTTTTTACTGTTGGGTTTTGGGGGCTCTTTATATATTCTAGATACCAGTCCTTTGTTGGATATGTGGTTTGCAAATATTTTCCCCCGGTCTATGTTTACAAAACCCTTTTGATAGGAGTAGTATTAGGTCTATAGATCAATCTGGGGAGAACTGACATTTTTACTGTGTTGAGTCTTCCAATCCATGAACATGGTACATCTCTCCTTTTTTTCTTTTTAAGGTCTTCATTAATTTCTTTCATTTGTGTTGCATAATTTTTAGCATACAAGTCCTGTGTACAGTTTGCTAATTTTATACCTGTTGACCTTAAAAATAAAAGTCAGTTATTTTACCAGCAAGAAAAAAAACGAGTTTACTCAGGAATAGCAAAGAATTGCAATGCAGGACAAGCAAGCTTAAATCATAGGCTAACCCAAAAAACAAAGGAGAGGAATGTTATTTGAAAGAGAAGAAGGAGGAAGTTGGAAGGGGTTGTTGTGAATGAAAGTCCACTGGAGAAAGCCAACAGCCTACCATGATGGCAGTTTCTCACCAGCTAAGTTGAAGGGCTGGTTAATTTCTTGTAGGAGATGCAATGCAAATCTTTTCCTCTTCAGGCCTGTAACTGATGATTCTTTCTTATTGACGATTCTTCTGTTAGGATCTGTACTGGCAATTTTTGACATTGAATGGTACAGCATGAGAGCTCCCCCTTCTGGACTCCCGACTCCATTTTTGTTGAGGTTTCCTTTTATTAATTTTTACAGACCCAAATGTTTAATTTTCCGAAGTAATTGTAAATGCTATTGTGTGTTTAATTTTAGTTTCCACATGTTCGTTGTTGGCATGTAGACCTGCGACTGTGAACTTACTAAGCTGCCTACTCCACAGAAGAGCCCTAGGGATGGGGAGGAGGTCCCCATCCCCTAGCTGAGCAGGAGAGTCAGAGGTGGAGAGGGACAAGGGTCCCAGGTTGTTGGCAACAACAACCCTTTCCACGATCATGTCCATCTGTGCCAGCCGCATGGAGGTCACAGGTGGCCTTAGGGAGAGTATTATTTGGAGAGTAGAAGAGATGTCTGCGGTGGACTTCTGGGTGGGGAGGAAGCAGGAGAGGAAGCTGTCCACCCACAGGGCAGTTCTTGTAGAAGAGAGACAGCTGACACTCCCTCCTCTCTGCCTGCCAGCTCTCAGTTCTCTCCCCACTCTGCCCCAGCTGTTTCCTCAGTTGTCAACTGAAGATAATAACCCCACCGGGGAGGCTGACTGCCCCCAGGTTCACCCTTGTGACACTGCCCTTTCCCTGGGCAGGACAGGCTGGCCTTGGACTCCATCTTCCTCCTGGGCCAGCATCACCTCTGCCCACGACAGGGCCCAATCTAACGACTAGTCTGGATTCGAGACTCTTTGCAAACTGACCCCAGCCTCCTCTTCCATGCTGGCCTCCTGCCACTCCTTGGGCCTTGTTTGGACAGCAGGAATTGGGGGTGGTGGTGGTGGATGGGGACCTTTCCACAACCCCTTCCAGGAAATGCGGACCTTCTGCAGCGCTGAGTGACTTCGCGGATGCCCTCTCCTGTACCCACCCACGTGGGCGCGTCCACCTCTGGGACCACACAGAGGTCGTGACCTGTTCGGCTCCTGCGAGGGGACTTTGTCCCTGTTTCTGGGGCAGAGACTTCCATCCTGGCTAATGGAGAGGGTCTAACTTCATACCTGGTGCCTTTCCCTCCAGGCGGTGCAGTGACAGCCGTCCCTCGGGGCTGGGACTGATTCCCTAGCGCCCCGCCCCGCGCGCCTGGCACCACCTCCCAGGGCGGTCCCGGCCCAGGCGCGGCTTTGCTCAACTCAGCGGCGGGAGCGGCGGGCGATGGCCGGAGCGGAGGAGGACCGGACGGGGGCCGACGCGACCTCCGCCCTGGGCGCGCTGCTGGGCTACCGCGCCTACGCGCGCCGCTGGGTCTTCTTGCTTGTGCTCAGCCTGCTCAACTTCTCCAACGCCACGGTACAGGGGTCTGGGGCTGCCTCCCGGCGGGGGCGGGAGCGGGGGCGGGGCGGGGAGAGCCGGGCCGAGCTGGGCCCCAGTCCGAGTCATCGCGCTCCTCCCACCTTCCCGTGTCCCAGTGCGCCCAGGGGTCTCGGTCTGTAAGGACCCTGACCGGACAGTGGGACCGCTGGGAGGGCGGGAGCCAGCGACCTCAGCAGGTGCGGAGGCGCAGGACCAGAGGCCCTTCTCCTGGCTGCACAGGGAGAAAAGGGGCTAGCGTCTGTCGTCGTGGTGTCAGAGCCTCGTTCCTGTGACCTATAGTGGTTTCGACAGAATCCCTGTCCTGCGTCAGGACGACGCGGGAGTCACTGTCATGGCAGAAAAGGGGTCTTCCAGTAGCCCCACTCCCTTCTGGAAGACCCAACAGCTGGCAACAGGCCTCAGGATCTGGCTCCCGCCCTCCCTCTCCAGACTCCCGAGCCCACTCCACAAGGCAGGGCAGGGCCCAGCCGCCTTTGCTTACCTGTGCCCTGGACCTGAGCTGTGACTCAGTACGGAGGCTTCTTTATCTGTACACCCAGTCTCTCTATAGCTCCCCAGCTGGGGTTCCAGTGACCGGTTACCTGTTCTAGAATGGTTCCCACTGCTGGCAGGGACTCAGCCCCTGAGACCAGTTGATCAGCCACTGAGAACAGGATCTACCAGTTACTGGGGCCCAGCTTCCCAACCTGCTTCTCCCCAACTCACCCCTGAGCCCCCAGTTCTGCCCAGGGGCTTGGGCCCCTTTTTCCCCAGCCCATCACATACAGTGGGCTCAGTGGGGTGAAGTTTTTGCTGCCCCCAGCCCCTTGCCCCTTGGACAGATACCCAGGAGCACTTGAATGGAGGGAGGGTTTGGAGCTAGTCTTCCTATACCTGACCCTCACCTGGCCACCTGCTCATGGGGTCAGGCTGCAGTGCTGTCCCACACTAGGCTCCACTGGGCCACCCTACATATCTCTTCCCTGGTGCTGCCACCTCTACCTCCTAAGTGTGCCTGAAGGAACCTGCCCATGACTGCTCAGCTTGCCACAGAACCCCAGGGACTGGTCAGGCAGCATTTGGGTGCCAGGTAATCAAGTAATGAAAAGCTACCTTGGTAGCAGGATCCACAGCTGGGGGAGGCTGTGAGTGGCTGAGGGACAATCAGGAAGTGCAGACCCATGAGCAGGGATGGGCAGGCAGGTGTGGACATTCTGGGCAGACGCTGCCTCAGGGAGGTTCTTGAGCAGCAACCACTCTTGGATGTTATTCCAAACTGATCAGGACCTTTTTCCTCCTTTCCTTGCCAGACTGGGTATGGAAAGCCAGCCCTGTGTCGTGACATGTGGCGTCCATGGCCTGGGCTGAAGTCTGCTATGACTCTGGAAACCTTTTTTTCTGTGGGACTCACCACTGTGGCTTGTCCACCAGGTCCCTGTCTAGCTGGCTAGGAAGCCAGAATTGGTTTTTGGTGCAGTGGTCTAAGGACACAGAGCAGGGGTCTCCTTCAAACCCTAAAACTGCTTTGATGAGTCTGAGAGTGGATGGGTATCATGAGTGGCCTCTAGAACTTCCTTGGACACTGAGGCAGCATCCTGCTCACTCCCCTTCAGTCCATGAGTTACTATGGAGCAAACAGGACTCTCACCAGGAATTGTGATCCCTGCTCTGGTCACCACAGTGAGCACTGACCATCAGTCTTACCCCATCCAAGTCCACTTGTGTGCTTCGTCTGCAGCTGGGTGACCATAGGTCCCAGGCTCTGAGAGGGCAGTGTCAGAGGCAGGTGGAGCAGTGCCTGGAGTGAGGTCTGGGGGGCCCCAAAGTGGTGTGAGGAGACAGCCCAGTGGTCTGGGCAGGGGCCAGCATGTGGGGCAGCTATCAGCATGCTCAAAGGGAGGTGGCTGGGAGCAGGTTGAAGGGAATTCTTTTGCACTGGGGACACATTGTTGTCTGGCACAGTTTAGACCTGTCTCTGCTCTGCCAGCCACAAACTTGGGGAGGAACAAGGAATAGGCTTGGCTCAGCAGGGCAGGTTTAGAGAACAGATACCATGCTTTCTCTCTGCTGGATCAGGCTGGGCAGGAAGCAGCTGGACCTGCATGGGGTCTCTTTCTGTACCTGGAAGAGATCTGTCCTCTGCTTTGACCCTAAAAAAGAAAAAAGGAAGAAAAGGCAGCTGTTGCCCAAGTTCTCTGTCATGTGAGGCTCTGCAGTCAGTATTTGCTTGGGTCAGCAAGCCTGGATCTCACCCGCCTCACCGCAGAGGGTGTGGTCTGGGGCCAGCTTCTGCATTCCCGGTCTCACAGAGTTGCGGTGATTGTGAACTTTGAATTGTGGTACCTTTGTCTTTGGTCCATCCCTGGCCTGCTTGCCATCTCTCTCCTGCCTTGGAGAGTCCCTCCTCTCACAGTACCTAGGGCTGGGAAATGTCACTTGTCAGGCTGTCAGGGAGGGTCTTACCTCCTGTAGGACAGGTGGGCTGGCCATGGGCAGGGCCAGCACACAATCCAGGTGTTTCCACCTGGGACTCAATCACTGAGTTTCTAGACAAGCTGGAGATACCTTTGGGCCTCGTTCTGTCCTCTCTCCCCGCCGTGGAAACATCCCTTCCACTACCCTTCGATGGCTCCAGGCCCACCCTACTTCCTACCCTTATCTAGCTGGGTGTTCACCACAGACACTGAGTGTCCACCCAAATATGCTCCTCTACCCAGCCATCTGGGCAGGCTACACATCTACATGACTAGGGTGGCAGGGCCACCAGCGCCCCTCATCAGGACCCCCTTTCCTACCCTCCCAGGCCCCAGTGCCGTCCAGCACCTGGTCTAGACCCCTTCATGCCCACTCACCATATAGAGCTTCTCTTCCCCCTGCAGTCGTCAGCCTCTCACTGACAGCCCTCCGGGCCTTCTTAGAGCGTCAGTTTTGGTGGGGCTCATGGTCCTGCAGGCCCTGGCCAGGTCTTCAGCCTCTGTCTAACCATTAGGAACATGTCAGCAGGACGGTGCTGCTCCTTACCCCAGGCACACTGTCTGACCCCCCCACCTGGTGCATTCCCTCAGAGGTGACTAGGTGAAGACCCTGGCCCTTATGGGACTGCCAGACACTCTCTCCCTCAGGCTGGCTGGCCAAGCCTGGGACAGCAGGTGGCTGGGGTGTCTGTGGCACCTGCCCCCTGGTCTGACACCTGTGTGTATCCACAGCTGTGGCTCAGCTTCGCGCCCGTGGCCGACACGATTGCCCACCACTTCTTCCTCTCCACCAAGCAGATCAACTGGCTTTCGCTAATCTACCTTGTGGCTTCCATCCCGTCTGGTGTGGTGGCCATCTGGGTTCTGGACTCTGTTGGGCTCCGCTGGGCAGTGAGTTAGACCCCACGCCAGGGCTCTCTCCTAGATGGGGGCAGGGTCCTTGAGTCAGGGCTCAAGAGCCATTGCTTCTTCCCCAGGGGTCTCCATTCGGGTGGCAGGGAAGGGGTTAGGGTGCTGGGAGGGGAGTCTGGGCTGGCCAGGCAGTGCTTTGACCCCATCCCCACAGACCATCGTGTGCGCATGGCTGAACTTTGCTGGGAGTGTGTTCAGAACCCTGCCCTTCCTGTTCATCGAGATCCAGGACCCATTTCCCTTCCTCATGGGTGGGCAGAGCCTCTGTGCCCTGGCACAGACCCTGGTCATCTTCTCTCCAGCCAAGCTGGCTGCCTTGTGGTTCCCAGAGCACCAGCGAGCCACAGCCAACATGATCGGCACCATGTGTGAGTGGCAGGGGTGAGGCTGATGGTCTTCTGTGGCTTAGTGAGTGGGTCCCGGCACCTCTGCACTCCCAGCTCTGAGAGGGCAAAGGCCTCTGGCTGTGGGCTGGGGACCAGGCCTGGCCATGGCTGAGCAGACACGTGTCTCCGTCTGTCCATCCAGCAAACCCCTTGGGCATCCTGGTGGCCAACCTGCTATCACCTGCCCTGGTGAAGAAGGAGGAGGGTATCCCCATGATGGTGAGGGAGCGCATGGGGTACATGCACACGCGTGTGTATGTGCGCATGTATGCATGTGCGTCCATGTGTGTTTATGTGCATGTGCAAGTGTGCCTGCACCCGTCTGTGAGTGTGCACGTGCCCCTCCCTGTGACCACATTGGCAAGTGCGCTTGGATTTTCCCACATGCCTGAGGTGGACGTGAGGGGGAGGGGTGGGGGCTGCAGCCAGAGGCCAGTGTGTCTGCTGAGCAAAGGAAGGATGGATGGAAGGGTCAACCCAGGGGGCAGGTGATTGGCATTGGAAACCCTGGGAGTATCTAAGGGGAGAGTGATTTGACCTGGTCCAAAGGCTTGGGGAGCCAAAGGCATGGTTGCAGTGTCCAGGTAGGTTGGGTTGGGGAGTGGGGGCAGGCTCAGGCCAGGTTTGGAAGGGCAGGGGGTTCCAGCTGTGCAGCTGGGCGCGTGTTGGGGCAGGAAGGTTCAGTTGGTGGTTGGATGGGTGAGTCTGGGGCCCCGGGAGAGGGTTGGCGTCACTGTGGGAGTCATCTATGGGTGATATTTTGAAAGCCAGCGTTCTAGAGGAAACAAAGCAAAGCAGGCCCTGGGGCTCGCCTTTGCCTGTCTAGGGATGGCTGGCAAGGGGGCAGTGTGCCCAGAACAGTGGGTGTGAAGCCCTCATGTGCATGTGCGCGCACACACACGCGTGCACACACGCGCGCGCGCACACACACACACACTCAGGTGTGCCCTCTCCCCAGCTGGGCATCTATATCATCCCTGCCGGCCTCGCCTGTCTCCTGGCCATCACCTGCCTCTGGGAGAGTGTACCTCCTAGCCCACCCTCTGCAGGGGCCGTCCACTCCACCTCAGAGAAGTTCCTGGTTGGGCTGAAGCTGGTTAGTGCTGTGGGATCTAGGGCGGGGGTGATCTGGTGCAGGGAGGAGGCTGAGGAGGGGAAGGGGGACAGGACAGGCCCTGCTGGGGTATCCTGAGTACCCCGCTGGGGCTCCTTTCTGAACGGTGTCTTCTCCTCCAGCTCTTGCGGAACAGAGCCTATATCATCCTCGCCGTGTGTTTCGGGGGCGGCATCGGCCTCTTCTCCAGCTTCTCGGTCCTCCTGGAGCAGGTCCTTTGTGTGAAGGGCTACTCCAACGTGAGTGCTGGCACCACCCAGCCCCCCTCTCCTGTGCAAGGAGGGGCTGGGGGGCCATTACTGTTACCCTGAAGGCTGTCTGCCCCAGACACTGGATTCCCATGCCTGGACAGGGTAACCTCCGCTTGTGGGTGGTATTGAGATGTTGTGTGTGAAACGTTGTGTCAGGTGCCAAATACAGTCTGATGGTGGGGTCGTGGCCCTGGGGAGGGGTGGTGGCGGTGCCCAAAGAGGTACTGGGATTTTGTGTGGTGCTTTTCACTATCTTTCCCAATGCCCCACTCAGGATGGCCCAACCCTGCGGGTCTCCAGGGAAGGGTCCTCTTTTGATATTTGGAGATTGGGAGGGCCTTGCTCTGCTCATAGCATCTCTGGCCCTGCCCTCTGCTGTCTGGCCTCAGCCCTGGGTGTGGGATTCAGGCCTGGTGTGTTCCCAACTCATGAGGAGCACACAGGCCCTGAGGCCCTTTCCTTTAGCAATTGTTGAGTTCCCAGGGTGGGGTGCCACAGGAAAGAGGCACCTGCAGGGGAGGACATGCTCTCCCTCACTCACGGCTAACCATGCAGCTGAGCCTTCCATGTCACCCTGCCATGGGCTTCTCGGTGATGACGTACGCCCTGAGGATGGGCTTCTTCTCCTGGGGCCCTGGTAGCACCGTGACCCAATGATGGGGCGCCCCTGACCTCCTCTCCTCCAGGAATTTGCAGGCCTTTGTGGGGCTCTCTTCATTGGGTTTGGAGTCCTGGGGGCACTGGTTCTCAGCCTGTATGTGGACCGGACGAAACACTTCACTGAAGCTGTCAAGATTGGCTTCTGTCTGACCTCCATGGTCTATGTGGCCTTTGCCCTGGTGAGAGTCCCCTTGAACCAAGACCACCCTACAGGCATGCAGGTGGGATGCTCTGGGGCAGGGCAGCTGACAAATGGGTCAAAGCAGACATTCAGACCTTCTCAGGCTTGGGCACTGTCCACTGGAGTGGTCCCCTGACCCTGGGCACTGCCCCATCCCTGCTCCCTGCTCAGCTGAGAGACGGTGCTGGTGCAGGGCCTGGCTGGGCCTGGGTGTCCAGGGCTGTGCACTCTGACTGCTGCCCCATCCCTCTGTGTGGCTCGCTGCCCCTCAGGTATCTCAGCTGCGGGGACAGACCTTCGCACTGGCCGCCCTCTGCTCACTGCTGGGGTTCTTTGGCTTCTCGGTGGCGCCCATTGCCATGGAGCTTGCCGTTGAGTGCTCCTTCCCTGTGGGGGAGGGTGCAGCGGCAGGCCTGGTCATCGTGCTGGGGTGAGTGTCTGTCCCTCCACCACTTCCCTGGGTACCCCAGAGACCTTCTCCTCGCCCCGCCCCAAGCTACACAGTGGGTAGCCTGCCTGCTCGGGCAGAGGCCACCACGTTCTGAGCTGTGTGCTGTCCCGGGCTGGCTGCTGTGCCCCACACTGGCCAGAACAGGACACTGCCCTCAGAGTGACCAATGGCACTGTGAGTACTGAGTGGTGCCCAGGGCAGGGCTGAAGGCCTTGTCGCTCTCCAGGCAGGCCGAGGGTGTGCTCGTAATGGTCCTGCTGACTGGCCTGACCACACGTCGTGCAGAGCCGTCCATCTCCACCTGCCAGGATGGCCAGGGCCCACTGGACTGGATGGGTGAGTGCCCCCGCCTGCATAGAACCCCCAAGGGCACAAGCGAGGAGGTCAGTGCCTGGGCTCCCCACCACCCTCTCCAGCCCTGGAACCTCCCCTCCATGGGCCACTTTCTTTTGACACCTTTCGCTCTCCTTGGCGTGTGCAGGGCACCCAAGGGGCGGGGGTGCGGGGGGGGGGGCTGGAGGGCAACAAGGCTGACCTTTCCCCTCCAAGGCTCACTATGGTGGGAGCAGCCCTGAGACCCTGGTGAAAGCCCAATGTTTAAACCCCATGTGAGTCATTTTAAAATGAGATCAGGGAGGGAGACAGAGAGGCCGAGAGACACGGGGGTGAGGATGACCACATCTGCAGACTCCGTACTGATGACCTTGGAGCTTACCACACCTGGGTCTGTGAACTGCCCTCAGGGCCTGTTTCCAGGGCACTCTCTGGTCATGGCTAGTGGGGTCAGTTGGGGCTCTGCCAGCTCTGTGGCTACTCTGGGTCAGGGGTGGGGAGCTCTGGCTGCTTGGGCAAGCCTCAGAACAGAGCTGGGATGTGTCTCCTCAGTGTCCATGCTGGTGATGGCTGGCCTGTGCACCTTCTTCAGCTGCTTCCTGGTGTTCTTCTTCCATACCCAGTACCGGCGCCGACAGGCTGAGGCCAATGAGAGCCACTCCATCCAGGAGGACACGTCCCCAGAGGCTGCAGATCATGTGCCCTGCCTGGCAGCCACCCCCTGAGGCTCCACTCGGCCACACCCCCACGACCTCCAGCAGGGACCGTAGGAAGCTCAGGGGCAACTCATTCCTAGAGCTGTTCTCCTGGCCCTACCTGCTTATTCGGGGGAGCCCTGAGCCGCTGGAGCCCCCAGGACTTGCAGAGAGGTCACAGGGGTCCCTGCAGAGTTCTGCAAGCCAAAAGAGCAGCTGGCGCATCAAGAGGTGGTCCTGGGGACATGAAGGGGAGGCCAGGAGGGGTAGGCTCTGGTCACAGGGTGACAGCATCCAGCAGATGCCAGAGGGCCTTGGAGTCCTTGGCACACCCAGAGCGCAGCAGGATGGCCTAGGGGAGACCCCGTGGCTATAGGATGAACTGCTGGTGCTGTGTGGACAAGTAGCCACTGGCCAGGCAGGTGCCCCAGTGGCCAGGCCAGACCCAGGGTGGTGGCTGGTGCAGGAGCAGTGTGTGGGGGATGGACCTGGCAGGAGGGACAAGGGCTGGTGGGGAGCTGGATGGATTGGGAGTCCTGTGGGCCCCTGGCATCACAGTCTGGAATGGACACTGTGAGAAATGCCTTCCTTGAGGAATCCCAACCCATAGCTTTTCTCAACCTCTGCTGACCACTGAGTGACCTGACTCCCAGCATGAGTGCTAAGACAGCAGGTGGGGTCAGGCTGGGCTGGGAGGGGGAAGCAGAGGGAGGGCCCTACAGGCAGATAGATGCTCCCACCCCCACCAGACCCTTCCCCTCCAGACTCTCCCAGTTCCAAGCAAACACTTCTACCCCCAGTGGACCCTCCCCCAAACTCTCCCCACCACGGCAGACACATCTCCCACCCCCAGGCAGAGGTTCCCCACCTGCAGACCCTCCCACCCCCAGGTGGACCCCCCCTCCTCTCCCTCTGCAGACACTGGCAAGGCAGGTTTGTGGGTTCATGTTTATTGAACTGGCTGCAGCCCGGGTGCGGATGGGGGAGATGCCCCTCATTCTTCCTTCTCCTCCCCGTGGGTGAGCACATAGCTCAGTGCCTTATAGTCCAGGTTGCCTGCAGCATCGATGGTGGTAAACTGGAATATCTGGTCAACCTGCAACCCAGTATGGTTGGGAGAGTTAGGTCCAGGGACGAGGGGAAGGAGCAAATGGTCTGATGAATTACAGGCACTGAACTCCAGCCAGCTCCAGTGTTGTTTTTGCTTTTGGGGGTGGGGGAAAGGGAGGTGGGGGGGTCACACTGCAGAGCCAGGGGCGGGGCTGGGGTATCTTGCCCGCCCCATTGCTGCAGCCTCTGGGGGCCCAGGGTGAATCCCCCTAGCTAACTGCCCACCCCCTGGAGCCCAAAGGGCTATCCTTGAGTTTCACAGAGGGGCATAGGGGAAAGGAAGTGGGAGGAGGGCGGAGTGGGCCAAACCTCTTCAGCGGTCATCTTGTCTGCCTGGGACATCAACAGCCGCTTGATGCTAAGGACAAGGAGGGAGGATCCAAATTAGGCTGCACTGAAGAAAGGAATTGGCAGGGGAAGAACTGGAGGGGTGGCCCCAGGGAGCCCCATGACTTGGGCCAGTTCACACCATTGGCTCTTCCACTGTGGGATACCCCAAGGCGGGGGTCTGCTCACCCTTCAATCCCACCCACTCACAGCACAGGTGCCTCTCAGAAGCCTGGCTAAAGCCTGGGCACCAGGGAGTGGTCATCAGGGAGTCTTTCCTGACTCACACGCTCAAGGGTCACCACCCCTGGGGCGGGGGGGCTCCATCTGCAGGGAGGAGACTGTGGGAGATTAGAGGCAAGTGCCTGGTACACCAAATATGCCCACTTGGCTGATTTAGCCCCCCAAAGGACTTAAAGACCCAGTGATGGCCCAAGTGGTGGTGACCAGCCGAGACCCTGGGTGCCCAGCCCTGTGTGGGCAAGACTGGTTTTGTCCTCAGTTACCCTGAGGGACTCAGGATCTTGGGGCAGGCAGCCCAAGGCCTGGAGATTGGGGTTGGGTGAGGGGAGGTAGGCTTGGCATCCCTCAGGGGAGATGCCTAGGTGCCTGTAGCCACACTCACTAGTCCTTGTTGATGCTGCCTTTGCCATCGGGATCCAGCATCTTGAAGGCATTTAGGATGGTCTCCTCGGCATCCGTACCTGCCCACAAAAGCCCTTGAATCATGGGCTGTTTAGGGCTCCAGTCCTGCTCTGGGCCACCCCAGGGCTTGGCCTGAATGACCCTCCAGCTCCTGAGCACTGGGAGACCCTGCAGCTCCCACTCTGAGGGGACTACTCTGGGGGTCCCCAGAATCCTGCCCAGGCCCAAAAGTGGAGTGAGTGCTCAATGAGTGAAGGACAAAGGCTACCACCACGAAGCAGACAGGAGGAAGGTTGAGCTCATGTGCCCCCTGGGTGTGTGACCCACAGATGTGGATACCAGAATGTCAGGTCCTAGGGCTTTTCAGCAAATCTGAAAATCTGGATTTTTATTTGAAATGTCTGGATTTCTAAGTGTTAGGAGCTAACAGTCTGTCTTGGCAGACTGGCCTGAGGGCTGCCCCTAGCCAGGGAGGAGCCTGGACCCATGGTGCTCACCACCCCATGACTCTCACCCGTCAGCTTTGCCCCAAACATGTTCAGGAACATGGTGAAGTTGATGGGCCCTGAGGCCTCCTTGAGCATGGCGTCCAGCTCATCATCCTTGATGTTGGTTTTGCCTGTCACCGACACAAGGCAGGGGCAGGAATGTCACACCCCCCCGGCTGTCCTGTTGTTGGTGTGTCTGCTGTCCCCACTGGTTGCCCACCTCCATCATTCAAAGTTGGGGAGGCCAGAAGGAGGGAGGTGAGCCAATGGGGGGATACTTGGCCCAGGTGTGGTGGCCCAGGTCTGCATGTCAGCAGAACCCCAAACCCTGAGCCCTGTGGAGATGGGCAGCTGAGGAGGAGGAAGAGGCCATGCATGGAGCCCAGGAAGACCTGTGATCTGCTTACCTGGGTGTAAGGGGGCCCAGAGGAAAGAAACCTACCTGTTCTCCCCTGGGATTGCCTCAGGCTGAGAACATGCCCCCAGATGGGAAGTTGAGGGAGAAAGGCCCAGCCTTTGGCTCTTCAGAGGAGCATGATCCGACCTCCACATCCTCTCCAAGGTCTGTTTCTGGGCTTCCTTACCATGCTTGGGGGAAGGAGGACCAGCCTCCCCATGCAGTGGTGTCCCTCTGGGGTGTTAGCCCCTCCCTGGAGCTTTGGTCCCAACCTCCCCATCCAGGATACCCATGCTTGGGCTGTGCCACCCACCCTGTGATGCCCTGATCAAACCAGAGGGATTTCCCCCCTAGGGGAGGCCCAGCCCACATCCTCGCAGCCCATGGGGAATGGGATGTCAGGTCAGCCTGTAAGGCCCAGGTACAGAGCAAAGCTCTCCAGGACTGGAGGACATTCTGAGGTGGGTTCTAGAGAGCTCTGTCCCACGGCACCTACCCAGAGAGGCGTAGGTGTCCTTCAGGTCCTCCTTGTCGATGAAGCCATCTCGGTTCTGATCCATTAGTGTGAATGCCTGAAACCGAGGCCAGGGTCACTGGGTTGCCAGGCTGGCCACACCATGTTAGGACAGGCATCTATTCTCACTGGCTCTGGAGTGAGGCTCACGTAGGGTCTTTTGGTCACCTGCATTATGATTCACAGGGGACCCCTTGGGCAGGAGTTACTGGGTGGAGGGGTCCTGGGACAAAAGCAAAGCCTCACCTCCTTGAACTCCTGGATCTGGGTCTGCTCAAAGTTGGAGAAGACGTTGGATGATGCCCTCTGGGCCCGTAGGCCACCCCCTTCCTTCTTCTTAGTCTTCCTGCTGGCCTAATGTGAGAACACCAAGGCTGAGGGGTCTCCAGGCTGGTGTTTTGGAAGACAACACAGAGGACTATGGCACCAGGGGCTCCAGGGGGACCCCAGGCCTGGATCCCTGGGCTGGGGCAGCCCTGACAAGGCCCTAACAGCACTGTACCCAGGGCTTGTCTTGAGCTTTGCCCTGCTCCATCTGCCATCCAGCCAGGAACCAGCTGGGCCTGAACGTCCAAGGAGCAAACGGACTGGGCAAGCAGCCAGCAAGTGGGTGGGCCAGTTCTAGGAATCCCTCCGGTGTGAAGGCCAGGACCCTCCATCTTCCAGCCCCAGATGTCACTGAGGCAGCCATGGGGCACAGGTCTTCCCCACCTAACACCCTTACTCATGTAAACAAACTCCATTCTTGTGCACACACACTAGCACAGAACACACTCATGTAGGCGACACACGTGTACACACAGTCACAAATGCACACAGTGCACAAACACATGCACACTCACACTCGATCCTGCCCCGGTGGCCTGCTGGCCACACTCACCATGCGTGGGTCTGCTTGATGCAATGGTCTGTGCCCTCCTTGCCCAGGTCACCCGTCTTAAGCTCCTACCCAGTCCCCCAGGACAGCTCGGACTCCAGCTGCCGCTCCCTACAAGGACAGGCCCAGGGTCACCCTGGGGACTGGACAACTGCAGAGTGAGCTTTGGCACCTGGCGGGTGACTCAGACGCTGCCATCTTGCCCTGCCCAGCAGGGTCCCAGCTTCCCAGGCAGCTCACCAAGAAGGCTTTTTTCTCCTGTTTTCTGTGCATCTCCAGGGCCACCTGCATTAGGACCTGGGCGGCTACAGGAGCCAAAAGAAGGAGTACCTTTCCTAGATTTGCACAAAGTCACTGTGAGTGGCCTGGGAGGCTGGTGACCAAGTGTTCTCTGAGCATGTTGTGTGTGCCCTCACCTCTCTGCTTCAGTGGCAGAAAAGTCCCAGGGCCCTAGGTATCCCCATGGCAGGGAGCTCCTTGCGTGGCACAGAGTGGGGATAACATTTCTGGGATGGAGGGCCATCCAGATGGGCTGGGCCCTGGGCCAAATTCCCCACTACATCATGGCCCAGCAGGCAGAGGCCAGCAGGCGGAGTCTGGGGGGGAGACCTGGTGCCAGATACTAGAGGTCACCACAGGGTCAGGGGCTGGGTGCCCCAGTCCTGGGTTGTGGGGAGTGCAGGTTAGGGGCAGGAAAGGATGGGGATCTATAGGCTGAGCAGAAGGAGAAGGCCTGGAGGTAGAATGAAGAAGGCAGTCAGGACTGCAGTTTCACACCTGGAGAACAAGCCCTCAGAGCCCCTTGTTCCTGTACCATGGGCGGTGGGGGGGGAGGCATCAGCAGCAGGGTTCCCCTAGGGCACATCTGGGAACCACATCGCATGTGAGTGCCACCATGGCAGGGGTCCTGCCCGTAGGGGCACACCCCTTCAGTCACATGACACCTCTGAGGTGCTGCCACATGTGATCCCAGGGGCAGACCACCATTTGCCTGCACTGAGTATGGGACAACAGACACCCTGCGGAACCTGGGGTGGCATGACCCACTGCAGGGCCCTGGGGGCTCCCTTGGGTTCGGCCTGGAGGACTCCCAGAGGGAGAACATGTGACTAACGTGGGAGACCTGGGCTAGGCTGCATTCCCAGTTGGGCAGGGTCTGACTGTGATGCTTGGAGAGACCCTAGCAGGGCTGTAGGATTGGGACAACAACATTGAGAAGGGAAGACATGCAGGATCTGTGCTCAGAAGGCCCCTCGTGTGGGGAAGGCCAGAAGACACTGGCAGAGTCCCTGGGGAGGTTTTCTGGGTTGGCAGCACTAAAGATAGCCATGGAGCCTGGCTCCAGGGAGAATATCAGGATTCAAAGTGGACAGCTGGCCCTGACAGGTGCAGAGGTGTCAGCAGGCGGTTCCAGTGTCCTGAGCCAGGTGGGAACCCCCTCAGCCCTCAGGAAGGGCCCAGGGCCAAAGCGAGTCTCCCCCAGCTTCAGGGGTCTTCCCCATGTGTATATGGGCATGTGTGTCCCCCACTGGTCCCCCTACCCCGCCCCACTAGAAGCTACCGTTAGGTGGTCCCCTACCAGCACCTTGGCCTCACCTTCAGCCCAAGAGACACTTATTTTTGATTCTGGAAGCAGGAGTTGCTGAGGAGTCTTGTTTATTTTAATATCCAGGGAAGGGAAAACATATTTGTCACCTGAAGTCATCTGCCTAGATGCTCAAGGGCAAGAATGGGGGTGGGGTGGGAGTGGGGGGTGTGCACTCAGCATTACCACATGGCGTGTTGGTTGAAGAGGTTTATTTTGTGTCCTGTGGGGTCAGTGTGTGCTTACAGCTTCCTCAGGGAGCAATGAGGGGGCTTGGGAAGGACTTACCCCAGCCCCAGGCCTGGCAGAGGCACCAGTGGATGGCATCAGGCAGGGATCCTCAGAGAGCTCAGAGAAGGGCCTGGTGGCCCTATAGGATGGGCCTCCCTGTTCCCACCCTCAGCCCAGGAAACAACACAGGCGATTTTCCAGTTTCCCAGCCGGAGGCCTAGAGCCAAGACTCCAGAGCAAGCTGCAGAGAAAACAGGCTCTGCCCAGGACCCTGGAGGAGGCTGGAAGAAACTCCCTTCCACGCAGATTTACTGAGCAACTGCTTTGTGCCCTGCGGTTTTCATCTCTGTATTCCATTCTCTTTAGATTTATCGTTAAGTTCTCTTTGGAAACAGGAGGGTTTGGGAGACTAAGGAAAAGCGGGCTCCCCTCTGGCATACCGGGGGCCCTAGTGAGCCCCAAGCTCTGGTTCTCAGGGAGCTTCTTTCTGGAGCAGTGCAGGGCCCAGGGGATGAGCTCCTTCCAGACCACCCCCTGCCCCCAACACACACCTGGTTGCTTTGGGAACCGTGGGTCTGCACAGCCAACACAGTTGGGAAGCTGTCTGGCCACCACCGCTCCATCCTTGGGCGGCCCCTCTGCACACCTGGGGCTGACCTGGTCATGTCTTTGCCAGAGCTAACCACAGAAGCGGGACAGAGTGCGACAGAGTAACTCGCAGGTGTGGCCTCCTACCCCTGCCCACGGTGAGTAGCAGAAGTGAGAGAATGAGGGGGCCCATCTGGGGGCTCAGTGGTCCCTGAGGCCCTGGTTGAGGTGGACCTTGGAGCTTGGGACTGCAGGCCCCCCAGGGCAGGAGTCAGGGAGCAGACTCTACTAGTGTGCTCTTCCCAGGAAGACTCCAGCCCCCTGTGCTGGAGAGGCTCCTGCAGTGAGGAAACCTGGCTCTGCTGGAGGACTGAGACTGGGGGCAAGGGCAGCTGTAAGGGGCACCCGAGGCAGTGCCGTCCCAGGAAGAGGTTCTGAGGCCACCATGATCAGCCTGGCCTGAGTCCAGAGGGGTTGGCCACAACCCCTCCCCTCGCCTCAACTGGGTGAGAGGCCTGGGGCAAGGGGGCCTGCACTCAGGTCACACTTAGTCCCTGGACCCTGGATTCCCAGCTCAAAACCTCGAACCCCTTTCCGGACCATGGGCCCTTCCTGGGCGGTCATGGCAGCTGACCTGGGGTGACCGTGGGCCTCTTCAGCCGCGGCGCCGGAGTGGGGGCTCCTTCCCCGACTCGCCGGCCCTGACAGGAGAGCCCAGGCACTGCAGGAGGATAGAGAGCCATCTATTTTACACTTTGTGAGCCTGACTTATATTTTTCAAATATGGGGACCTATAATGGGCGGGCTCCATTGGTGCTCAACCTGGCCTACAACATCACGCGCTGCAGAGACCATGAGGGTAGGCCGGGTTTCACACCCTGGGCAAAACCCGCCCCCGCCGCCCAGCCGACACCTGCTTCTCCCGCAACCGCGCATGCGCAGCTGATCGCGAGCCGCGCGCCCGGTGTGGTCCCCGCCCCGAGCGGGCGCACGCTGTTTCACCTCCGTCCACCGGGGGGCGCAGTCCTACTTCTGTTCGCCGCCGACGGCGCATGCGTTCGCCCTCGTACGCTTTTACGTCTCCGCAGCTTTCCGGGCCCTTGCAGCGTCCTCCTCAGATTGTGCTTCCGGCGTGAAGGTTACGGACAAGATGGTGCCGCCGGTGCAGGTCTCCCCGCTCATCAAGGTGAACCAGGCTTTGCGGCCGTCGCCGGGTGCTCGGCTCCGCGTGCGCAACCCAGGGAGCCCGGGACCCGCGCCCTCGCGGGTGCGGCCCCCCCCACTCCCCGCGCTCCCGGGACCCCCGCCCTGCACCCCCGACCCCGCGGGCTGGGAACCCCTTCCCCGGGGCCCGCGCCCCCGTCCCCGCTCCCCGAGCTCCCGGACCCGCGCCCCTGCCCGCACCCCCCGCGCTCTCGGGGCTCACGCCCCCGACCCCGCGGGTTGGGAACTCCCTCCCCAGTGCCCGCGTTCCCGGGACCCCCCTGCGCCCCCCGACCCCGCCGTCGGGCGACCTCCCTGTCCGCCCCACCCCGACCCTGCATTTCCGGGACTCCCTTCCTGCGCCCCCCGACCTCGCGGGCTGGGGATCCCCCAGGCCCCCGCACCCCCCTGCCCTGCTTTTGACCGTCTTCTGCCCGCAGCTCGGCCGCTACTCCGCCCTGTTCCTCGGCGTGGCGTACGGAGCCAAGCGCTACAGTGAGTGACCGCGGGTGGCCGCGCCGCTGTCTTGGCCCAAGGCAGGGGTAGCACTGGGGCTTCTCACAGCCGGGGGGGGCTCTCCAGAGCCATCTACTAAGCCCCAGCGAAGGGCAAGAAAGGGGGCAGGGTTGGGAGGCCCCAGCCCCAGAAACCCGAGCAAGTTTGACCCCTGAGCGGGGCCGCGGCAGGTGTGTAGGTTGCTTTGGGATTAGCGCAGGTGGTCAGGACCCAAAGTGCAGGAGGATAGAGAGCCATCTATTTTACACTTTGTGAGCCTGACATATGCTGGGCAACCCCCGGGAGCTGGAAAACGGCTAGCTCTTGTTGAAAATTGGGGTGCCAGGTGGGTGTTGGGGGAGTGCTGCGGTCAGACGTGAGCAGCCTCTGGTGGCCTAGATTGCTGAGCCGGGAAGTGCGGTGAGGTGGGGGGGCATCTGGTGGAGCGTCTGGAGTGCTGGCCGGCGGGGCCCTGCAGCTGCCCTCCGGCTTGGGCTCTTTGCTGAGCCGGTCAGACCTTGGTCCACCTGGAAGGAAAGGAGCGGAAAGCACATGCATCAGGCGTTCACGTGCACTAAATTCCTTTTATGCAGCGTTTTGGTGAAGACACTGAAAGTACCTACCCATGTTCATGCTTTCCTTAACAGGTTACCTGAAACCTCGGGCAGAAGAGGAGCGGAGGATGGCCGCCGAGGAGAAAAAGAAGCAGGATGAACGGAAACGGATGGAGAGAGAACTGGCAGAAGGTACTGGAGTTAGTGCATCTTGCGGCTTTGTCCTCTGCCCAGACTTGAGAAACATACAGGTGCTGCTTCAGGTGCACCCCACGGTGGGGGTTCGGAGCTGCCTCCTCTCTTCCAGCACTGGCCAGTGGGTCCTCTGCGGGAGGGAGAGATGCAGCAGGGCCGTGGATGTTGGGGGACACGGTGACACCTTGCCTTGGGCAAGGCCCACCAGGTCCCTAGGCCTTGGAGGTTAGTTGTCTGGGAATGTGCCACCCTCAGAGGGGCCCACGGGACTGGAACCAGGTACGCATCCCCCACTGAGTGCTGTGGCAGGTTCCAGTCAGAGTGTGCAGGGACGAGAGTTGAGGCAGAGCATGGTTGGGCTCTCCACTGTAGCTGGATCCTGGGTTGTTGAGCTCTGCACGTGTGAAGTGGTCCTTTTGGATTGCCTGAGCGTGTAATAACACGAGTGTTTTCCTTTAAACCTTTCAGCCCAAGACGACAGCATACTAAAGTGAGCCTGCCTTTCTCTGGAATGGTGTGGACGAATAAAGCTTTCTGTGTTTGATGCTCTCCTTTGCTGTCACCAGTTGTCTGATTGCCGGACCCCAGCTCAGCAGCTGTGCTCTATCCTCCATTTCTGTGGGGTGGGGATGGCGTGTGGGTTTCAGAAGAACTGGGCACCCATCACAGACCCCAGGGGCAGTGCACAGACGGGCTGGGAACACAGAAATTCTGTCACCTGTTCTCTGGGGTGTCCGACCGGGGAGCCCCAAAGGGAGCAGTTTATACCCCACTCAGCCAGCTTGGGTATTGCGGCTGCTGCTTGGTCTTCACTGAGCCCAGACCCTTGATGGGCAGTGCAAATGCCGGGGACCTGGATCTTCATCCCCCTGTCGGGGCGTGGGGGGAGGAAGGCCCGTAGGCTTTTGGGGATCAGGCTGGGGTGCTGCATAAAGCTCTGTAGTGGGCTTGGGCTCTTGCTGAGCTGACAGCCAGGTTCTGCCCCTCCTGGCTGAGCTCTTCCAGCCTCTGAGGCCTGGTGTTGGAATGGTGCTATTTCCCAGCCCTAGGTCTTGAGCAAATTTCCCCGAGCCCAAGTTTTGTTGATAAAATGAATTCATTTGCAAATGTGAGGAGGAAGAGGAGAAGCAGTGGATAAGCACTTTAAACCCTTGGTTTTAGTTCAGGTGAAGGTTGAGTGAGCCCAGCTCGGTTCCTTCAGGTTGGCTGGTGCAGAGTCCCTTGGGAGGATGGCCTGGCCCTAATCATGGACTGTCACCAGGTGTCCCCGCTGAGATGCGAACTGCCTCTTTCCTGTGACTGGATGGCTGTGGGGAGTGGGTCCTCCCTCCCCATTCTCCCCTCACCACCTGCTCAGGAGCTCTGGAGCTCTGGAGGCGGGCTTGAGTGGCATCTGAACTGGCCTTTCCACAACCAGCCCAATCAGGCAGCTGAGGTGTTTGCTGTGGGGTTGTGTGCAGTGTTGGGAACAAATGATTTGGAGCTCTACCAGATAATTAGTACCCGTTTCACATGTGAGTCGTGTGTTTGGGTCTGGCTGTGCTGGTGCACAAACACTAAGGGCTTGGGCAGACCCCAGCCATGGCAGTGTGCTCCCCTGACCTCTATGCACAGGGCTGTTACATGTGTTTTTGCTCAGGTCTCTCCTGGCCTTGACCTTTGTGGCAGAATTTTCCCATGGGCCCTACATGATGTGACCTCCACCATAATTTCTGCTGTATTAAAGAAAAGGGCAACTTGTTTTCTTTTTATTTTATTCTGAATTTCTGGTCATATCTCCTCCTAACCAGACAGGCAACAGCATCTCTGTATCTCATCTACCCAAATACACGTAATACGTGTGCAGGTGGGTCTCAGCCAGTGCTTTCTGACTCGCAGTTCACGGACACTTTCCAAACATCTCTGTGGTATTGCTGTGTACCCAAAAGATGGATGAGTGTAAAGTACGGTAAACTGTGTATTCATAGTTGACTTTATAAAAACATAAATCTTAAAAAAATTTCAAAATATCCAAAATTGTCTTCATTTTCTTGGGCTTCTTAAGCTCCTGTAGCAAGCAGTTAGAGGTGGAGTCCCAGCGGGTGAACGGACTGGGGCGCCATCAGAACACACGGACCGGCTCACAGGATGCAGCAGGTCGAAGACTTGGGTGCGGGGTCACCGTTGCAAATCTCTGTGCCCGCTGCAAGAGAGAGAAGATGGTGAGGGGGCTGTGCACTGGCTCCGCCCCTTCTGCCCAGTGGCCTTGACCAGCCCCGTGGGAGGAAGGGCAGAGTGTGGGACCTGTGGTCAGCCTAAGCCGCTTAGCCTAGCCAGGGCTCAGCCTTTCTTATCTTCTTGTGACACTTTTAGTTCCGGCCCCCACAAGCCCAAAACCGTCTGGACATCGGTTTCCTCCCCACAGCAGGAAATAGCAACAGAAGTCCCAGGGCTGAGGTGGCCACGCACAGGCAAATACCATGGCAACAACATCAGGGATTCCATCTGGGGGGTGTGCCAACCCCTCACGATGAGGCCACGTGAGCCACAGTGCCACAATGGGACGCAGGGGTGGGGGCTGAGCAGGTAAACAAAGGCTGTGACACAGTACAGGGAAAGATGTCATGTACGCTTGACTCAGCTCACTTAATTTCTTTTTTTAGGTCTTCTGTTTTTGTTTTGTTTTTGTTAAGATTTTATTCATTTGAGAGAGTGTGCGCATGAGCAGGGGGAGGGCCTGAGGGAGAAGCAGGCTCCCTGCTGAGCGCAGAGCCCACTGTGGAGCTCGACCCAGGACCCCGAGATCATGACCTGAGCTGGAGTCAGATGGGCGCCCTTAGGTCTTCTGTTTGGTTTCTGAGGGTAGATGGAAGTGGAGATTTTCCTAAGTTAATTAGGAGAAAACTGCTGCCTGGTGGTGGAAGAAAGAGCTGCTGAGAGTTCCCCACGTTTCCTCCCTTTATCAAGGAAGTAATATTCAAATAGTTACTTGGTTAGAGAAAATGAGAGTCTGGCGAGGAACAAGGAGATCCTGCAGTCCGGGTTGTTGACTGCACTGTGCCCCAGGCCCGATGCCTCTGCAGGGAGGAACCCAGCTCATCAGCCCTAGCGCCTCTGCCACCGGCCTGTCCGCCAGAGTCCGCTCTTGTTTAGCCTCCGTCCCTTCGCGTACTTCCATGTGGGGACTAACCACGTGCCCGCCCCACAGCCCACACCTTTCTTGGCTGTTGTCTTGTCCTCCTGTTGCTGCTTCTGCTCCTCCAGGGCCTTGACTTTGGCCTCGTACTCGTCAGCCAGGGCCTTCCACTCCTTCCTGTTGTTCTGCAGTCGGTCGAACATGGGCAGGATCTCTTCATGGAAACGGGAAAACTCCTGGTCCAGGAAGACAGGGAATCAAGAAGTCGGGCCACACTCCTGACTGTTCCTAGGCAGCTGGGGCAGGTGGCCTCCCCACATCTTGGCCCTTGCCGGCACCAGCCTGTCCCCCCACACCCTGCCCTGCTCTCAAGAGGAGAACCTGGGAGGGGGCCTGTCTGAGGGAGAAGGGAAGGCCACTCAGATGTCACTTTCCCAGCAAAGCCCAGGAAACGGAGAAGAGAGGATGGGGAGGGCACAGATGGTCTTAGTGGGGCGAGGACCCCGAGAATGGAGTAGAAAATATCAGTGGCAGAAGGGGAGTCCCTTGGCAGAGGGGGTGGGAAGACTTGGGCAGACATGCCGGTCTTGCAGCCCCTTCTCTGGTCTCTTCTACATACATCACACATACATACACACACAGACACACACATGAGCCATGGAGTGTGTGGATGGACTTGGGGAGGGCAGAGTGAGGGGAGCGCTGTGGTGGGGCTGTGACCTGTGAGCTTCAGAACTGGGACGTCCATCCCGGCCCCGCCTTCCTTCTCAGCACCACAGCCCCACTGAGGGGGCAGCAAAGGGAGCCGGGGTTTCAGTAAGGGGAAGCCCAGGCACCGTGGTGGTCCAGGTGGGGAGTGGGACTGGTCCAGTCAGGGTCAACCTTACTCAGAAGCAGACAACCTCCTCCTCGCAGCCCCCAGGACCAGATGGAGGATGGAGTGGAGCCCATGGGCATCACTTGGGAGGGGCTCTGCAGTCAGACCCCCCGACACACTCCCTGGACAGTCCTCTGGGCTACGATGTCACAGCACATGCATCCTCGGCACAGTGTTCCCTGGTCACTCATGTGCAACATGTGTTTGCTGGGTGAGGCATTCCCAGCTGTGACGGGTGGACCCATCCCTGTCCTCCTGGGTTCACAGGCACTGAACAAATGCACCTGCAGATAAACTGCAGGCCACGAGTGGGGGTGCCCTAGATGGGGTCTGGGGAAGGGACATGTGAGGTGAGACCTCATGGTGAGTGGGAGGCCCTCCCAGAGGGTGGAGACCTGTGGGAAAGCATGAAGAGCTTCTGAGGAACTGGTTAGGGGAAGGGGGGAAGGGACTCCTTGGGGTGACACTGAGGATTTCAGATTTTAAGTACAAGGATGAGATGGGGGCTATGGCAGGCCAGGCCATTGGGTGAACCCACACCAGCAGCCCCCTTCCTCCTGTGAGCCTAGCCAGGCCCCACACCACCCTGCTCACCTTGTACACGAATGTGCACACAAAGTCGATGAAGCCAACCTGTAGTTTGGGGAGCTCAGCTGCCTTGTTCCGGTCCATCATTGGCTTGTGGGGGGAGCAGAGATACCTCCTCTGAGCCCGCAGGACTCACTCAGCCCCACCCAGCTCAGATGAACATGTCCACAGAGACACAGATGAAGCAGTGTCCATGGGATGAAGGTGGAGCCTCTGGTCTTGGGGCTTAGTCTGCCTTGATAGATGCTGGCCCTTGAAAGGGGACAGCCAGGATGCCCCTCCCCGCTCTGAGCCATCTGGTAGTTCCAGGGCTGAGTCCACCATGATGCTCCCTAGTTTCAGGTCCCCTGAGCCCCTTCCTCCCACATCCTTGGGAGCTCTCCATGGTGCTAACTCAAGACCTGGCTTGAGAGCCCTGTGGGGGCAAACTCCAGATGCCCTTGGAGGGGCTATCCTTGGTGTCCACATACTCCAGACCCCCTGAGCTGTTCCTTGCAGGTTTATTCTTCATAGCTACCCACTGTCTGGAGCTCCATGTAGCAACGGTGAGCCATGCAGGAACTAGAGGCCTGCCCTGTCCCCAAGGGACTTGGCTGGTTGGTCAGGACACCCTTCCCTGCGGGCTGTCCCTGGCCCCAAAGCCTTCTCCACCCTGTGATCAGGCAGCTATCCACGGGCTGGAGTTGGCTTGTAAAACAAACCCTCTTTCCATCTCTTCCACCTGCTGTTGGACATGCTATGCTGTCCTTGTCCCCTTGGAGCCTATGCAGGTGCCATGGTGGTCCAGCAGCACATTCCTGGCCCCACATTGCTGGCCCGAAGATCTCAGCATCTTCCACCTATCATGGTGGGGGCCCCTGGACTCCAGCCGCTGGCCTTCTCCGGCACCGTACTCTCCCCACTTGAAGGCCTTCCTGGAGCAGCTTGCAGCGTGGCTGAGGTTCACTGTGGAGCTGTCTGG